GATCCCATAAGCAGACAACTGCAACTGGTCCAATCAATTAACAGATTTAACAAGTAAGCATAGAAGCTTCCATGGAAGCACGTTTATTGTTTCCCATACCTCCAAAAGAAATGTAACACGGAATAAAGGCCAAAAGTGGGTCAGGCATCGTTACACAGCAGATATGATGAATTTGAGCAAGAGAATACTCTGAGGCTTATGCGTTAGTAAGAGCAGATGGAGGTTGTGAGTATGAGATGTGGCTGGTGAAGAGCAGGGGGACACTGTGCAGCAGGAGCTCATGGCTGGGGAGGATGTGTGAACTTAACTGTTGCTCTTAAACTACTAATACCTGCTGTGCCATAAGGTAGGAGCACTCATGCCAGAGCACTTTAAACTGTTGTGTTAGTGCTTCACTCAGTGTTTGGCCTCTGAGCTCTTCAAGCTTCAGCCTATATTCTGTGCTAATATAGCGGAAATACTAGCAGGGCATCGTTCTCGGGGAGGGGGGATGAATGTGACATCAAGTAATATAGTCTTTCTGTGTTGAGAAACTACCATCTTGTGGACTTGCAATGAAAGAAGTTTTGATGGGAAGATTTGCTGAAATATGTTGCTTTTTGTAGTTAAATCTAATTCTCTTACAATGTATTTTAGAGCAAAACATTTACGGAGAACAATAACAAGAGATAAAAGTGTCCCTAATTTTGATTATCAGTTATTGCATCAGGTAAGAGGAAATACTTGTTTGAATTATTTGTATAATACAGTAATTATTTGTATCGTGTGCTATAAATATAATATGTTAGTAAAGAAAATATTCTTTACTAATGGTGGTCAGTGAGTCCGAAAGGTCTGACCTGTGCTTCCTAAACTGTGTTTCTTCATTGTCCGAATTTCAATGGTGCTTCTCTATCACCTCTTAAACCTCTTATTCTTTGTCACTTATTGCAGGCTTCATCTCTTTGTTGTCTGTCTTGTCCAGCAAAATCTGGGATATACCAAGGCACGAAAAGTCTACAGCATGTAAGAAAAGCTGTAGTCAAGCAGAGATGCTTCTGACGAGAGAAATTTTGCTGTAGGTTGAAACAGAAGGTTGGAAGAGAAAGGAACAGCTAGACACTGAAATAGCAGATGCAAATTGGGGTTTGCATGCGAGGAAGGGATTGCTTGCAAGGGAGAAAGCAAATTGCATGTTGCCTGCTCAGCTGCACCACTGATGTGTAGTGTGGTCTTAGATGAGCCACTTGATGTGCAGCTGGGGGTACCGAGGCACCCTGGCTGCAAAATTCCCCAGACCATGTGCTGCCCACTCCTTTCTCTGCACTGGCTGTAGCTCCCCTGGGACCTTCTGCAGAGCCGTTTCATGCTAAGCAGGAACGGCCCTACTCACGTGAAAATTAACATTTTTTTTCTTTTGCCAGATTAGCCTGGTTAAAATGGAATTGCAGTCTCTTTGCTTTCCTTATTCATCTCTAAAACAGAATGCTGTCCTATTTCAGACATCCCTTAGGAGATATAACATTGGCAAAGAAACTTGAAAATGCCATATAAAATGCCATCCATCTGCATTATTTTTTGCTAGTATTAACGATAGTGCCGCCCTTTAATTGTGGTATATATTAGTGGATGACGAGGCAGTAAGTCGTGAAGCATGGGGGACGTTCAGCAGCTACTCCACACCACTAGTGCGTAGCACTCGCTGCTGGCACCGTCATGGCTCAGAATTTACTGATCATGCAGCTCTGAATTGTTAGCGGGCTTAATGATCTTCTCCTGAAGCTTTTTCAGTATTGTTACCATTATTTCAGTAGTGGGATATCATGATTAATTCGTGTCTTTAATTCCTCTTATATTATAAAATCTGTTATTAGTCTGAACCAGTAACAGGGGAATTGTGCAGGGGAAGAATCAGGAGCAGATGTGGAAATGGGAGACAAAAAGATGCGGAAATGGGAGACAAAAACAGCTGAAATGCAAAAGAGAACCTCAAAGAACAGGGACTACAGGCACCTCTTCCCTGAGAGAAGGAGTTTTGGAAGCAGTTTTCCACTGTTGAGCAGTGCCTGGTTCAATCTGGCTGCATTAGTGCTAAAATACTTAGTGGTAAAAGAAATGGCTGTAAAATTCAAACATCCTGAGACTTAAATTAGAAAGGTGTTTGGAAGACCTAGGATGATACTAGGATAGTGTGCGGGGGGGAAAAAAGGTTTTTGAATGCCTTGATTATCTTTTCAATTCTGATGCTGGTTTATGTGTAGCCTGGGGCACGTTGGACTCCTTTCTCCTTGTTTCTCTCTATGTATAGTCAGGATAATTACTAGCATACAAAGCAAGCTATTTTTAATCATTGGCTGTGTTCTCATTATCTCAAGAATTTCATGAAATTAATGTGATAATTGTATTGAAAAACACTAATTCATTTTACTTTTTGGAATGAAGAAAAATGAAGAAAATAGAAAATGCTTAAACATGTCCTATTTTTCACCCTCACAGTTAGCTATTAAAAGCTTTGATAAAACCAAGTTAAAAGCCGTTGAAACGCTGGACCAGAGCAAAGCTAAGATTATTGACACAGGCTGCAGTGGTGAATTTGCGAAACATGATGATGTGAGAGAACCTCCTGGTAGGAGCAAACTCATGCACCGAAGACACACTGTTGATGTGCCGCTTTCAACAGAGGAGGTCAGCGATGAAAGCAGTTTAGCCAGTCCTAGAAACCCCAGCGTTTTACAGCCAAAAGAGTGCAGTGATGACTTGTTTTAAAAGCACAGACGGGGAGGTGTGAATTTGATGTCAAGAGCTGAAGAACTAGGTGGTGTTCGTTTCAATATCCCTGTCAATATCAAGGAGTTCAGCAGCGCTTGCGAGCTATGCACTCCGAACGGGACGCCAGGGTGATGCTGCGGCAGAAGCACCGTGTTCCTTGTGCTTTTGAAGACTGACTCCTCTGGTGATTGTGGAGCTAACCACTTAGCCAGTTTGTTCCTGATCTCAACAAACAGGCATGTTGAGATGCCGACAGCTGAACTGCTTTCCTACTCGGCACTTACTAAAAAGTTTTATGTTATGGTAAACCAGCCCAAGTCCTATATTGTACTTTTCAGCCACTCACTTTGTTTTTAAAAGTCTGAATAATTTTTGCATTTTCAGTTTTTATCACTACATTGAATAAATATATATATTTATTTATATACATAGGTATATTGGATAAATACTATTTATTGCCAGAAGTAATTCAAATGTCTCTATTTTTATTTTAATGTTGCAAGCCATTATAATATATATTTCTGTGTATTGAGCAGCTGGGAAAACAAAAGTTGATGAAATCTGTGACACCATGTTAGAAACGTATATATTCTATAAACATGATGAGAAGTAATCTAGTGATTTTTTTTTTTTTTTTTTTTTTGCTATGCACCCCTGTATTGATTCTGCAGGAGCCAAGATGCTGAGAAAAGGTAGTGTGTGCAGCAAGTATGTATAAAGATATGTAAAATCGCTTTTTTTTTTCTAATGCGAATCATGCCAAAACACACATAATTCTGTACATGGCTAAAACTAGCAAGGCAAAACTGCTGCTTTAAGGGCCTGGTCCTATCTGAGTGCTATTTAAATGGCTCACCTTCTTGATTATGAAAGCTCCTCCCAATATCATTTTTTGGAATAGAACCAATTCTAGAGATGATCAGTGTGGGAGAATTGAAAGCTCACGAATACCTATGAGATAGCAGCTTAATTTTGGACTTTATTTTCTACTATTTCAGTTAAAAACTTTTAAAAGTGGTTAAGGTAGGAGAAATGTGTAAATAGTGTTTCTAAACACAGTATTTTTTATTTCTGGCTTACCATGTCCAGCTTGCAGTTTATTTTGTAAGATATTTTTATGAATAATTCTGCTGCTTTTAACTGTGGGATAGGTAAACTGCCTGGGAAAGTACAAAGCTGGAGGACATACTAGTGATTCTTATAAAGTAAGTTTTAAATCTAAGGGGTCAATGTGCAAAAAGTACACACATGAACACTGGGAGATGAGGATAATGCATTTATTTTTCTAATAATTTATGAGTTAATCTTTTTTTTTTCTAATGTGCCTTGGGATTTGTGCCAAATGATGGAAAAGAGGGGGAAAAAAGCAGTAAAATAATTCTTGAAAAAGCTGTTTGAGTGCTTATTTTAAAAATTTTATCTTGTGTCCAGTTTTCCTTATTTCTGTGTTATATGCATATGAAAATTTCACCTGGTGCCTATATGTAAATTGAGGAAACATATTGGAATTTAAACTTCTGCAGGACTCTCTTCTCTCCCCTTCTGTCCTATGTTTGTGGTTTTTCGTATGTGTGTGAGGGTGGGTGATAGCTTACTGCAGAGTAGAAGCACAGATTATGCTGCTGTAGTTCTGCAGAACATGAGCCAATGCCACTAGGATGATGAAACAGTGTCAGGCCAGTTTTATAAGTCCTTAATAATAAGCCCAGAATGGTCAATTAGCTAAGTCATCTCCAGGAAACTTATGATCCGGCTGCAAAATATGTTCCTGTACAAGCCAATTTGTCTCCCAAAGGTAAGAAAATCAGAAGCATTTTTTCTTGTCTTTAAAAATGACATTTTGGATCAGTGTCCTAAAAAGGCTATAAAGCTTATGTTGTTGATAGCAGAACACATCTTTTAAAAAAGTCACATTTACAAATGGTGGAAAAAAAAAGCACCAACTCGTGCTCACTTTAAGCAATTTTATTCTGTCTGGAAAGCATTGCCCTGGGACCCATGCACGCTTTGCAAGTGATGTCAGAAGAGGGTGCTCTGGTGATAGAATGTTGATCCACACAGTGATACAGTATTTATCCTACCTATTTCCATAAACATTTTGAACTAAGGTATAGTGTGAGTTCAGTTTTAGGCATGCAGGAGATGCAGTGTTTAGGAAAACTGGGTTTTTTTTTGTTTTTAACCCTCAAAATAAGAAACTCTCCAGCCATTTGATAAAAATGGAGGTAGTTTAAAGAACCTATGATACCAAGTGTCTGAACAGTGCTGTACTACACACTAAACTTAACTTGCTGTGTGTGAACTTCATTATTTAATGGGGGAACAGTTCAGGTAGATGCCGGCTGCAATTTCTGTACACAGTCTTCTTGATAAGAAATCCTCAAATTCTAAACTCCAATCATCAGTACTTTGATACCAAAACACTTTATTTTCTCAGTTTCCAGTACAGACTCAAGAGGCAGTGAGCTGCCGGCTAGGAACTCCTTCAGGGACTCGGGAAATCTTGTTTTTAAATGAGCTTCTGTAATTTAGACTTTAAACTTTTAGCTATTCCCACTGTTGTAGGTGGAGTACTTAGGTTACCGTGTCTCTAAGAGCAGCAAGTTAAGGGTGTGCACAAGTTGATAACATAACCTGCACCCTGAGCAAGGGGAAACAAAACGTTCATGCTAAGGAAGCAGCAGGGAACCCCACACTGCTCAGGGCTCTTACACTACAAAAGTTTAAGTTATCAAGTCCCCTTCTCAGATTTATTTGACAAGTTCACTTGTTGGCCTTTATAATAATAAAAAAAAAAAAAGAAACGTAAACATTTTCAGATCTTTCCAACTGCCTGATACAGTATATTGCCTTTTTTTCCAGGCAGGTTGTTTGGCAGACAGTCTTACAGTGTATTTAATAATCATCTTCTTCATCCGAATCCAATACTTTTCTTCTGTTGAACTAAAAAAAAAATATTTGAAATTAAAACAGAAGGGTCACAGCAAAACCAACATAGAGCAATCCTGTAAAATTCCCCATATTTGACAGTAAGTACAAAATTCTCAGTCCCTTTTCAAAGCAAAAATTACTGCAGCTCACACAGGAACAGGTTTCCTCCTATTGCAATACCCCCACTCCCCAGTAAATTGCTACAGTGCATTTCTAGGGAACAATACCTTCACCACTGGGCAGGTATTTACCCAAAGAAAGATTTCAGGCATTTCTTAACATAATTTTGAAATTCACAGGAGGCTAGCTGAACTGGGACAGAAAAGCACTTAACAGCGCTATCTACAGCACTAGCTATTTTCTCCTTAACAAACCTAAAAGTGCTTCTCTAGTGACCTGTGCACTACTTTGATCATTTGCTGTTTACATGGTTCTCCCTGGCAACAGAACCCTGGTATCCCAGTGCTAGTATCTACAAATTATCTGGTGATTTTGGGCAGCTATGACTAAATTACTGTAATTACCAGTATGGGAAAGAGGGTGGTAAACAGAAAAGGGAAATGGTGCAAATCGTGCACCATTCTACTCCTTTGTTTTCATAGTGGATTATATTTCAGATTTTTGAACAAAAAAAACAGCATTTATGAAGCTTACCTTTACCGTTGTTTTCTTTTCTGTTTGCTGACTCACTTTTTCCAGTATTTCTATCAAACCCTGTTCTGATATCTATGAAAGCAGAACCAAAAGCCAGATAAACGCATTCTGACAGATGCTTAATATCAAAGAACAGAGCTACACTTCCCCTTAAAAGGTGCTTGGCTGATAAAATTGTGCAGGATGTAATATTTAGAAACTTTCAACTATCTCTTCCAGTTAGGTAATTTGCAGATAGTGGAAAACATAAAATACCCTTTTTGAGGACTTAAGGTTTGAAAATGAAAATATATGAGAGAAGTAGGAAATATAACTCACTTTTCCAGGTAGCTGTCCAAATCTTGCCATCTGTATAAGATAATTCTCCACTGCTTTTGCTTTATCTGGTTTGACAAGGGCCAGATTGCTTACTGCAAAAAAAACAGGCTCTGCTTATTTTATTTTAAAATGAGCATCTTCACCAGTACTAAAAACGTGACAAAGGCCACTACAGAACTATCTTGCTCCCTGTCACTTTCATTATAAATGTGTTTCCAATTAGTTTTTTTCACTGTGATGATCATTAATTGAAGAATGAAATTTAATTTTAAACATTCAGATATCAACTCCATCCTCACCATTGATATTATCATTTGAAAGGCTGTAACACTTTTATCTTTCCATCATTTACAGTATTTTTCCAGTCTGCTCTCTAATACAACCACTTAAGTGTCCAATTTAAGCAACACAGGGAAGCACTAGTATAAAATAACTTTTAATTAGAAAATGACTTCAATACTTACATCTTGCACGAGCTGCTTGATCTAGAACTTGAGCTAAAATAGTATTTCTTATCTCTGCTTCCCTGTAAAGAAAAAAGTTACGTATTAAAAGAAATGTCAAGTGCCTAAAATAATATGCCCAAAAAGCAAAGATTGCAGATTTTTTTCTATTCCCATAAGTGACTTTTTGAGATCCCTTCTAACCCTACATTCACAATTTCAATTTCTTTCATAGCTTTTTCTATCATGGGTAGCTCTATGTATTTTGAGGATGGGATTAAGTAACTGACATACTGTCCCCCGCTCCAAAACATACTGTCCCCCGCCTCCAAAACAAAACAGAACAGAAAACAACAGCATTTCAAAAAAACAAACCAGTGAAAAGAGTTACTATATTGCTCAAAGCTAACAGATTTGGACAAAATTAACAGCTCCCATTTGTACCTCTGTTTTGCTTCCTGTTGTGATGGATCACCAGAAGGATCCTAAAGGGCAGGAACAGGATAAATTGTTATCATTGTCTAGAAACAGGGCTGTAGGTTTAATTATCCCGGCGGAGATTAACATAAACCTGCCTGACCACGGACCATTTATGGTTATGACTGTTTTGAAAAATAAAAGCTGTCCGCCATGGCAAGTGAAGGCGTGATCCTCTGGACACAAGGTGAGGCTGGGCAATGCCCAAGGCTGCTGCCCTGCTCATCCGGGCCGCTCCAGGTCTGGACATGTGAGGTCATCCCCTTAAACCTCCCGGAATAGGGCCAGGGACACTAAGGCCGGGTGGCAACACATGCAATTCAACACAGCACTTCCTCTTTATTGATATACAAGAAAACACGACGCTAACAACAGATGAAGGGATTAAAACGGGCGTCAGTAACAAAGAGCGAGGTGAACATCACACTGCATCCACAGTGTGGGGAGAAACGGGCACGGAGAGGGCAGGGGCGGGGCGGACACGGCCCCAGCAACAAGGGCGGGAGGCGGCGGCCGCGGCGGCCGGGCCGGGCCCGAACCCCGGCGCGACGAGAGCGTCTGGAACGCGCTGCGCCGCGGCAACCGCTGTGACGAGGCGGGCCCGGAGAGGATAAAAGCCCGGCCGCTCCGCGCGGTGCGGCAGAGCGACGGCGACCTCCCCGCGGCGCGGCGCGGAGCGGCGGCTCCCCAGGACGGGCCTTACCCCGTGCTTGGCCTGCAGCTCGGCCAGCCGCTGCTGCCGCAGCGCCTCCAGCTCCTCGTCCGCCATGGCGACGGGCGGCGCCCCACGCGCCTGCGCGGCAACCGCCCACAGGCGGCACTAATCGAGCGCCGAGGAGCGAGCGCGCATGGAGCCACAGGGCGTGAGTAGGGGAGGGGCCGAGCTGCGCCCCGCCCCCGCGGAGCGTCACCGAGCGCGGCGGCGCCCCCTGCCGGGGAGCTCGGGTCGCCGCGCGGCGCTGAGGCTGCGTGCGCGTCACCGCGCGTCACCGCGTGTGACCACGTGTCACCCAGCCTTGTGTCACCACGTGTCACCTAGCCTCGTGTTGCCACTTGCCACCCAGCAACCCCTGCGTCATCCTGCGTTGCCACATGTCACCCAGCCTCCCCTCCCGTCATCACGCGTCGCCACATGTCCGCCAGCCTTGTGTCGCCCCGTGTCTCCCAGCCTCCCCCTGCGTCACCCAGCCTCAGGGTCCCTCCCCTCGCGTTGCCACAAGCCACCACGCACCACACGCATCCCTTAACCTCCCCTTGCATTGCTATTCACGTCACCCAGCCTCCCCTCACATCGCCTCACGTCACCACGTGTCACCTAGCCTCACGCCGCCACTTGTCACCCAGCCTTCCCGTGTCACCCAGCCTCGAGTCACCACGTGTCACCCAGCCTCCCCTCATGTTGCCACGCAACACCATGCATCACCCTGCATCACCTGGCCTCCCCTTACCTCGCTATTGGTCAGCACGCGTCCTCCCCTGGTGTCACCATGTGTTACCACGCGTCACCCAGCCTCCCCTGGCGTCACCACACTTTGCAACATTTCATCCAGCCTCCCCTTGTGTTGCTGTTAATCACCACATGCCACCCAGGGTCCCTTCATGTCACCATGTGTTGCCGCGTGTCACCCAGCCTCCCCTTGTGTTGCCACGCATCACCCAGCCTCCCCTCACGTCAGCACACATCGCCATACGTCACCCTTCCTTCCCTCGCATCACCATGTGTCGCCTAGCGTCACCTAGCATCCCCTCGCATTACTAGGTGTTGCCACATGCCACCCAGCCTCCCCTTGCATCACTACATGTCGCCACATGTCACCCAGCCTCCCCTTGCATCACCATGAACAACCATGTGTCACCACGCATCACTTGGTCACGCTTTGACTTGCCATGCCTCACATCTCGCCACGAGTCACTAAGCCTCACCTTGATATGCATCACCTCACCGTTCCACACCTTGCCTCACCATGCCTTGCCAAACCTCACCATGCCACACATCAGTCCTTCACCACACCTCACATTGGCACACCCTTTCATTGCCACGCCTCGCCATACTGCACCAGGCCTCACCACGCCTAGCCTCTCCAAACCTCACCATGCCTCACCACAGCACTCCTCACCGACTCTTATCATGCCTCACCTCGCCAAGCCCTGCCATTACTCACCACACCACGCCAAGCCTCACCATGCCTCGCCACACCTCACGAAACACCACACCTCACAACACCTCACCACACCACTTCTCGCCATGCCTCCACTCACCTCGCCAAGCCCTTACCACATCTTTCCTCCAAACCACTTGCCACACCTCACGAAGCCTTGACCCGTCAAGCCTCGTGTCACCACTCCTCACCTCGCCATGCCTCACACCACGCCTCACCACACCTCGCCAATCCACACAACGTGGTGGCGTGCAACACCCCTCAGCGCCTCACCTTGCCACGCCTCACACCACACCTCACCACACCTCACCAATCCACACAACGTGGCAGCGTGCAACACCCCTCAGCGCCTCACCTTGCCATGCCTCACACCACGCCTCACCAATCCACACAACGTGGCGGCGTGCAACACCCCTCAACGCCTCACCTCGCCGCGCCTCACACCACGCCTCACCACACCTCACCAATCCACACAACGCGGCGGCGTGCAACACCCCTCAACGCCTCACCTCGCCGCGCCTCACACCACGCCTCACCACACCTCACCAATCCACACAACGTGGCGGTGTGCAACACCCCTCAAAGCCTCACCTCGCCGCGCCGCACCTTGCCTCGCCACACCACCTCGCCAAGCCTCATGATGGGCTCACTCGCTGCACCTTGCCCGGCTTCACAGCGCCTCGCCAGTCCTCATCCCACCTTGCTGAACTCTGCATCACTAAACCTAATGCTCTCTAAACCCTAACCTCCTTAAAATCAGACTCAAAAATACTGATTTAAAGGAGGCTTCTTTCTACTTTAATGTTAGCAGCAGAGGGAGCCCTAGTTCTACAAAAGAGTATTTGTATGTTATAAAGCAGAAATCACAGTAATTGTTGTTCTTTGCTGTGCAGTATGTTCTCACAGATGAAGCTTTAATCTATATCGTACATCTCTGTTGCTGCAAATTCATGCTCCATTATACCACCATATGATTTGATTCAGAGAAAGCTGCAGTAATCCTAATACTTCCTCTAGCTTCATAGATGTGTTGCATGTTTGATTGTGTATTGTTTTCACACACACTTAAAGGTTATGTCTTAATACGTTGTTTTTAAATGAGTTAATTAGCATTGAGCTAGCAGTTGATGAGTATGTGTATTCTGAGAAGGTATTGTAGTTAATAACCATATGAGTTTCAAGAGACAGCATGAATTTAGTCCATTAATAAAACTGGAGGCATGAATAGCAATGTTTAAGGTTTTATCTTGCTGTCTAGCCTGTTGCCTATTTAATTTCTTGCCTGCATACAGGCATGTATCAATACCATCAATACAAAATGGACAAATCTAAAAGCATGAAAGTATAGGATTTTCAGAACTCGAGTGGTTCTGTAGGATCCCATTACTTCCTCTAGACCTTCATGATTACAGAATCAAAACTATGTATGTAGCAAGTACACAGTGAAAAAAATGTGTATTTTGTATTGATGCTGATGGCATGTATTTCCCATTCTTTGCAAAGCCTTATTGTAACTTATCTATAAAGAAAACAGTGATCTATATGCAGTACATGCACAAAATTGTCAAAAAATGAAATGCAGTAATACTTATTATATCACCAAAATATCAATCTTTAAGAAATATTCTTTAAATGTGCTTATGTGTGACATTTGAAAGTTCAACTTCTCAAATCTAGAAAATCTCCAGAGTATTTAGGTCAGCTCATCCGTGGCTTTCAAAGCCAGACTTGGCAGCAGTTGTGGGCTCCCTGGTTTTGGAACAGTTTGCTGCACCAGACCCCTTTGCCTTAGCATCTATCCCAAGCCATGGATCCCAAGCAAAATTGAATAAATTGCCTTGTCTTTGCCAAATCTGGCAGTTCGGCTGACATGGAAAGACTTGTGATTCAGAAACAGAAATGTGGAGGAACAGAAACAAGAATGAACTAATTCTTTTTGTCCTTTTACTGCATCTATATGAATAATTGGAAAAGACTGAATAAATTGTAGCAAGATTTAACGTGATATTGTATGTATGCATTGTGTTTTATGTATTAAGTGTAGAAACAACAGTCTGATTTTTGCATAACTTGTCTTACGTCAAAATAGGGAGGAATAGAAAAAATAATCATATGAACATTTTCTAATAAAAGCTTTAAAGTTTTTCAAGCTTTTTTTACTGTGACTTTCTAATAATGCAATTAATTCAGTAATAATGCACCAACCAGGCAAAACAGAATATAACATTAGGCTATTATTCAGTGAGAATTTACTGTTACTATATTGTCTGATTTCAACATACATGATTCATGTTTAATGTTTGTTATGCCTGTATAACTATAGTTAAGAATTATGTAGAATATGTTCCTAGCACAGACCGCATAAGAAGTATTATTGTTTGCATAGGTTATTGTGCTTAAATTTTTTTTCTGTCCTTTTTAGGCTTGCACACAAATACACCATGTTTAGCAGCAGAAAGGGTCTTACCTCTTGAATAAATGGGTAGGTAGTTATTATACTGAGAAATACTAAAAATGTCATCAGTTTTTCAGTTTTAGAGGAAGGATTCTACTCTTAGTGTGACAGAAGGTGTTTCTTGCACTCATTAGATTGCTAGATTCTGAGAAAAAAATGTGAAGTCTGGTGAGAAAGTATAAAGAGAGAGCAAGGATTAGACAACAGCAGCTGTACTTCTGAATAATTTAAGTTAGTTTGCAAAATTACACAGGAAAAGATTATCACATACTTGCATTTGAGCAAATGGAGGAACAAATGTTGTTATAAAAAGTGACAATGTACAAAATATCTGAAATAGCACAGGGACTGACTTGTCACTTGGGGCTAGATCCTGTGCCAACACACTTGTAAAGTCAGGAGAGGTAAAGTATATCGTGTAGAAGGAACTTTGTCTAGATGTGCAGCTGGGCAGAATCCTTCCTCAAAGTTTATATAAAAAAAAAAGTGTTTGAGGGAAATGTGTGACAGATGTGTGACATATACTAGAGCTCGGACCCTTTTTTCCCCTGTAATTTCAAAGAACAGAGCACTGGGAACTGATGGCAGGAGACCTCCATATGGCCCTGTGAAGAGATCTGAGACATGGCCTTCGGGATGAGATAAATCACCGTTACCGGTGTTGGGATGTGCAAGTGTCCCAATTGGATGTACTCTTTTGGATGGTCTGAGATTTTTCATGACTAAGAAGGAAAAGAAACGGTGATAAGCATCCCTATGCACTATTTACCATTCTCCATGCAAATAAAACTTCTTTATCACTTAGTGTCTGTCTTTTTGCAGTTTTCAGTAACAGCTTGATTTATAGCCCCATTTGTTTACCCCTAAAGTGAATTTAACATGCATTTCTGAAGTGAAAGAAACTAAAGTCAAATGTATATGAGTGGAATAGCACTTTATGTACTGCTTAGCCACAAGCACAATATTCATTTGTTTGTTATGCCTGTATTCATTGTGCTTGTGGCTTGAATATTCAAGTTACATATTTGCCTATCTGTTCCTGAGTCACCCTCCGTGCTGTTCACCTCTTAGTACAGGGCTGAGAATGTGACAAATACAGCATACTTTTTTATATTCTGTCATATATTCTGTTTTGAGAAAGAACTAATTGGCATCTTTTAATGCAATGTATTCGATTTGGGAGGCCAGATATTTGTTAACTTTAATGGTGACATTTAGTTTTATTGTTTTTTTGGGGAAGTTTACTCCCTCCCACGCCAAAGAGGCAACACGAGTTGCAGTCAGTCTCTTCTTGTCCACTAGCTAAACTGACCTCCACGTCCTGGGAAGCTCCGTCGAGCAGCAGCCCCGCAGCCGCGGCGCTTCCCCGGGGAGCACTCCGGGCTGCGCGGCCGCGGCGGGGCGCGGCGGGGTGCGGATCTCCCGCGCCCATTGGCCGGCGCGGCGGCGGGCGGGCGCGGGGATTGGCCGGCAGAGCCAGCGCGTGGGCGGCCGCTCCCGCGGGGCCCGCGCGCAGTCCGCGCCGAGCGGCGGCACCGCGGAGAGCGCCCGTCCCGTGCCGTCCGTGCGGCCGCGGCTGCCGCCATGGGCCCCCCCGGGGCGCGGCGCCTGCTGCTGCTGCTCTGCTGCAGCGCCCTGGCCGCGGCGCGCACGGGCGCGCGGCGGCGCCCCTCGTTCCGCGGGCAGGTGCTGGAGAACTGCCCGGCGGGGACGCGGGTGAGCGGGCTGAGCATCCCGCTGACGCGCCTCGGCCCCGAGCCCTGGTGCGCCAAGGTGCAGGGGCGCCGCTGGCGCCTGCAGCTGCTGGGCGAGGGCGCCGCGCACTTCGAGGTGTCGCTGCAGGCGCGCAGCGGGCGCGTGTGGCTGCGCACGCGGCGCCCGCTGGACCGCGAGGCGCGCGCGCTGTACGCGCTGCGCCTGGCGCTCTGCTGCAAGCACTGCGCGCCGCGCGCCACGGCCGCCGCCGCGGAGCTGGCCGCGCTCAGCGTCCGCGTGCTGGACGCCAACGACAACGCGCCGCGCTTCGTGGGGGCGGCGCGCGCGGGCGTCACGCGGCTCCGCGTGGACGAGACGCTGGCGCTGCGCTCGCCGGTGTGGCAGGCGCGCGCCGAGGACGCGGACGCGGGCGCCAACGCGGAGCTGCGCTACTTCGCGCGCCCGAGCAGCGCCCACTTCTTCGTGGTGCCGCGCAGCGGGCGCGTGGTGCTCGTGCGCTCGCTGC